CCCATGTTTACTCTCAGTGAATACACAATCAATTCCTGCCACTTAACAAAAGGTAATTTGGTGCTTTGTATGTCCAGCCAATACTTTTGTTACCCAAGAGCTAATCTGCCTTGAATAGCATATCATGTAAAGGAGAGTCATACTTATCAAACATATCAGAGAATGTTTTCACATACGAGACAATGAATAAATCTAAGTTTTAGCTTTGAAAATTCTTTATGGACTATAGGGAGTCCAGAAATTATTAACTTGAATTAAAACCAAAAAGAAAGAATCTTGTCAAAGAGTGTGTCTTTATGTATGTATGTATGTTTTATATTTACATATGTAAATATATGTTTATACCACATACATATACATATATTTTGTGTGACAAAAGGATAATGGGATTAAATAGATCAGACTCATATATGTGGGTATGTAGGATTATCCTAAAGTACTTATTGTAAGAGGCAGTCTATGAAGGAACCAAGTTTAAGGACCATTGTTCTTAGCATTAGTCACTAAGCTTTACATAAAGCTAGAGTGTGCAATGCAAGGAGATTTCTATATATAATCTATGTAAGATGATACAAGATATATAATTTCATCACCACAATTCCATTTTGCAAGTAATAGAAGATATGTTGTGTGAAAGTAAATTAAAAATTCATGTGTTGATTTTACATTCAAATGATTTAAGACAATTCATATTCAGTAATCACAAAGCCAGATTTGTGATTAACTGAAGTAGTTCTTTTGTGTTGCACGGATAGTAGGAGCAAGCACAAATTGATTTAAAAGCTGTAATTATTTGTTATAAATATTGTAGCCTTTTTAATGATTTATTACAACTTGGTGGTTGGCCAGAGTAGACATCATCCTACTGGGTAATCTAGTCTGCCTGAGGAAGATTCAAACAGTAATTATACATAAATGAATGTCGGAAGTTAGCCATACTGCCAACACTTCTCCCCATCTTTGCCGAGAAGAAGCAGGATAGAACTAGTTTAGTAAGGCCAACTGAAAAGTGTCAGTAATATTGGGAGCCAATCCTAGAAATACCATTGCATATTCTCTTGTGCTCATGTTTCATTAGCAAGGCAATCATGCTGTTAGTGTGGTCGTTTCCCTCAGGATTGTGATGCACTTGTTGTAGTTGTTAGTTTTGCAGAAAGTGGATTAAAAAAAGGTAGTCTTGTATTTTAGTACTGCACTCTTGCACAAAGTTTCTATATATTTTTGTCTATGGGTCTATGAAGATGTTACTATTTTTAATATGCATATTGATTTTGATATGCTTGTTCATAATTTGTTATATATTATAAAAGGTTGCAGGCTTCATTATATTTGTTGGTGTATAAGATGTTTAAGCTCAAATACAATGCAATCACATGCACACGTTTTGTATTTATCTGAATTGTTTAATAAGTTGCTTCTGCTCTGGAGGCTTTTAAAGTGAATTGACAATGTTACCTATTTTTTAAAGATTATGATATTTAACATGTTTTAGATCAAAGCACAAAGCCATATGCTTTTCTGATATGGGTAAAATTTTGCAGATTCTTTTTCTAAATCTTTAATTGGGGATCGTGCCTGGTGTCATTTTGTATTTGATGGCATATAAAACCTTTTTATTAATGGCAAAAAAATAGATGGACACTACTACATTACCCAAGTGCATAATACAGTAATAAGGTATTAAGATATCATTAATATCATTATTACTGCAATGACTTGTACTTGAATTCCCCAATATTCTTCACTGAAATATGAACCTCGCTACCCCATTTTTCCAGGGAACATTCAGAAATATTCCTCTTGGCCACATTCACCTTATGTGACATCAAATATGGTAACTGTATTGAGCCAAAATTCAGGAAAAGGGTATGAAAGAGGATTAACAGTTTGTATTGACCCTTTTTCTTTTTTTTAAAGCTCATAAAGTCATCATTTGGTATGTTACTCGGGAGAAAGACTTATTCGATAGTCAAATTATAGCTTGTGTTCTGTAGTATTATCCATCATTGCACATGCCTTTCTTGCTTATAGTATCCTGTCCTTTGTTCCTCAAGGCTTGTATTCCTAAATTGTTCCAAAGTGTCATAACTGAAGAAGTGAGAAGCAGTTACTCATACTACCAATTGAAGACCAAAGAAATGACTTGTAATTAATGAAAAAAATTGAAAATTAATTGTGTGAGTTGATGGAAATACCTTTGAATTTATTATGATAATGTTAAGTACTGCCAAATTTGTTTATGGAGTGGCATTGCCTGTTTGACAATAGTTGTAGGACATCTTACACGTCCTTACTTGATAATATGATGCATATTTAATACCATGATTTGTCTTACACTGGTTAGCATTATGAAAAAATGCCTTTATTCAGATTACCATAATGATGAAATGGGAGTATATTTTTCAACCTATGAAAGTGGGTATTTTAGTATTCAAAGTACACAGTATTTCATAAATATAAACATATAAGTGATTTAGTTTCAGTTAGTGAAGCAATCTATAGAGGCATAATCAGTCAAGAATAACTATAGGTGTGAAAATCTACTAATTCAGTTTTTTCCGTAAAGAGCATAATAGGCTATATTAGGGGGGAAGGGGGAAATTTTTTACATAAACACAGTCAACCATATCATGTCTTGAAAGTGAAAAAAATGGAGTTCCTAATACCATAGCAAAACATTCCCAAATGCTGTTATATATTGTTCTCAGACGTTTCAATGCCAATTGTATTCCTCTTTGGATCTCCTAAAATATATTGTGATTCTGTTAAATAAACCCTGTGCATTTTATGAAGAAGGAGAAGAGTGAGTGTGTGCTTGCAAGTTGTTATATGTTTACCATAATTGCCAATACCTTTATACACTGAAATTCTTAACTCTTTTCATCATATCTGTAATTCCATAAGATTCCAAAGCTTGAATGGTCTTCAAATAATAATGTCCAGACATGTGATTATATTCTTCTACTTTTGAGTAAACAAACAACAAGTTTTACCTGTACAGAAGTAAAAAAAAAAAAAAAAAAAGGGAGAGAAAAGAGAAGTGTATTGCCACATGATTGCAAGTGGCAGTGTTGGTGTAACAGTGCCTCTCTTGTCTTTGTACTTTAATGGTTACCTGGTCTTCAGCTGGCTGTTTTAATACGGCTGAAAGCATACATTCTTAGATGTTCTTCCATAGCAATTTCTTTTGTTCTTCCATCAATGATTTCAAAGAATATCTTAGTCTTTTTTTCAGGGGGGTAATATCATTTTTATCAACTGCACATAGATATATTTCAATAAGGTAATAGTTGTGTATATAGATGTTGAAAATATAATTTTGAAAGTGTTTTTGTGGGTATTAATATCCTAATTTAATAAAATATGATTTATAGACATACTCAGTGCTGAAAATGGAGCAAAATATTAACTACAAAAATGTTTAAGCAAAGAGGATGAATATACTCTACGCTTAATTCCTTGCTCGTTGTTGTCGTGGGGGGCTTAGGAGACGGAGACTGAGGCCCAATGTATGGGATCACCCCTGCCTTGGACCTCAGCCCCTGGCTCAACTAATTTTGCATGGCCTTTTCCTTCTTTCCTTTTCCTTAATTTCCCCAACCTCTTCCTCTGCCCAATGCCTTAAGTGTGAGCCGTGTTGAAAGGATGAAAGGCTGAATTTGTGCCAGTCATGAACGGCCTCAGAGAGCCCTTGGTGATTGTCTATCCCTTACCCCTCATGGGGGACCTTGAAGGGTGGACCGTTTATCTTCCCCAGTTATTTCGGGCTTCCCATGGCCAGTAATTCTGTACCCCTATTAGAGCACTGAGGCTTGCCCCTTTATCAAATAACCTCCTTAAATCTAACTCCTATGGTTTACCAACCCCTGACTCTCCTTTGACCACGGCTCCGACCACCGCTACTAGACCCCCCTCGTTGACACCTACTGTCAACTTAACCCATCCTGAATCCTCTACCCAGGTAACTCGACCTCCAAAAAACACCCCTCCCTCAACCCCAATATCCTTGCCCCATCTCCAGCACAACTGCCTCCATATCATACTTCCCCCTCCGTTGTTACAACTCTTCAACTTATTGCCCTCCCCGTCACAACACTACATTCCACACCACCCTCTCTGCCTCTCATCCTCGTCCTTTTACATTTCCCACCTCTACAACCCTTTTAAATATTCTAGCCCGGTCAAATGGGCCAGATATTTTTGGGATTCCCCCTACAGCCCCGTACTCTGACTTTCCCAACAATGCTTTCAAAAACAAGTAGGCAAAGTCTCGTTACGCAGCCGTCCTGGCCATTCACAAGGTCTATATAAGTACTTATACAGACCTTGGTCACAGTTACATCTGAATCTCAAGCCCATGCAATATCTACCCTAGGTGACCTCACAGGTAAACCTATTCCTGTACAACCCCACAACTCCCTTAATAAGTGTTGAAATTGATGGTTTGGCGTTTCTCTCTCTCTCTCTCTCTCTCTCTCTCTCTCTCTCTCTCTCTCTCTCTCTCTCTCTTCTCTCTCTCTCTCTCTCTCTCTCTCTCTCTCTCTCTCTCTCTTTTAACTATAAACTTAAAATCAATTCGGGCGATTTCGATAAAAATCGAGCTCAGGGATCTCGCTAAGGTCTAATTAGAGGGTATACATTTCATCAAAATCGGCAAACGAAATCGAATAGAAAAAAATACCAGACAGTCGCCTTAATATTCATTGTTGAACAGTTCACCATGAAAAGTCATTGGTAAAACCAAAGGGTAAATAATTTAGTTCAGTCAGATGAGGTATAAAAGAGAAGCGTCACATCATAGGTGGACCCTTTCCACTCCCATAAATCCTGGTTGTATATCTACTGATACTTCAAGGCCATATTTGGAATTTTTTTTAGAGATTTCGTTTTGGCTCATGTTGTATTGGGAGAAGAGTGACAGAGAAGTAACCTATAACCTTTTGTTACAAGCAGTCCTGACGGAGTGCCCCTACACTTTAAAAGCATCTTGCACCCCATGGTCCCTGGATGCCGTTCTTTTTATATACCTTAGTCATCGTCAAATTCTTCTAAACCATATCTATGTCGAAAAGTCTTTAACCTTGTATACTCTGCTACAGACTTTTGTAAACATGATGACGATATCAAAATAGCTCTCCTCTTCAAAATTTCCAAGTACTGGTTACTTCAGTGTAGTATACAGATGTAATAATGCTAGACACCTGGTATCAGTGCTTTGACTTTGCAAATGTAGAGGATGTTGCCAAGGAGAATGGTCACATTTGCTCGCAGTCTTTGGAAGATTTTCTAGAATAGTGGGGTTTTCCAGTGTGTCAATTTTTGTGCTTCCACAATGTGGATAGCCTCTAGCTCTAGGATACCATCATGGTCCCAGTCACAGTTCTGTCACTCACTTTGCCGTCACACCTTGATGCTTTTTGTAACAGGTTTTTTGCATTGAACCTGTTTCTCGCAGTCTTAGATTCGGGCTCTACAGATATTGAATAGGACTCCCCCAGGAGTTCAGTTCAATATCAGTCTAAGTTCACTTCTTAGACTGCCTCTTCCAAAGGGAACCCTGGGTGGAAGAAGCTTGGGTAAAGGACGACCTCGAAAGTCATGGCCTTGGTAAAGATGGACCGAGTATCCATCTGACAGCTTTCTGAGATCCACTTGGCTAAAAGCAAAGGGTGACTTCGGCAATGCACACTTTCCTTGATACCAATGATGGATCGAGATAAGTGAATGGCAGTCAGTCTGTGTAGTTATGTTGAGAGTATGATGGATATGTTGGTACCATGTGGGATATGCTGGCACTCGGGTTCAAAAGTTGTGCTGGGGGAGCATGACTGTAAAAATTGATAGACGTTGAACAAAGATTGTTAATAAATATCAATATAACGTATTACACAATGCCTTGCATAATTTGCTAATTAATAAAATTTGTAAGCAAGTAAATACACTTTATCAGGAGACAGGACATTCACCAGCCTCTGTAATCTCTGATAACGAGATAAGAGAACAGGATTATACACAAGGTTCATTTACCTCTTACACTGCATCAGTCCATGTGTCTTGATAACTGGGCAAAAAAATAGACACACACTCGATATATATACATGACACACACAACACCAACACACACCACACAACAACAACATACATGGTACATGTGTGTGTGTGTGTGTGTGATGTGTGTGTGTGTGGTGTGTATATGTGTATATTATATATATATATATATAATATATATATATATATATATAATATATATATTATATATATATATATGCGTAGCTATCTACCTGAGAACATATATAAATAGATAGAGATATAGATGACAGAAAAATAAACTTTTCACCACGTAGGTTCAACCCTCTGTAAAATATCCGACCCAAAGTCCGCGTAGTTCTTTCAAGGCCCGTAATCTTGTCTCTTGTGAACAAACGTATCAGTTGGAAGTAAGCTGCTTCGAGTGAACAACACACTGGCTGTTTAACTACAACACCAAATTATATAAATTCCCTATGTAAGTAACTGGCACCTAAAACATAAACTGGTGCTCAGTTTTAGGATTTATTGGTATTTATGGCTGGGGAAAAAACAATGTTCATCCTACAGAATTAACCAACAAAACAGTTTTGATGATGGATTGTCCAATGAGTATCATAGCTACATTTATTTAACAAATAGTCGAGATAAGTGTGGATATAAGATTTAAATTCTACCAACATTACTAATGTAACTTATGAATCTGTGCTCCTAATACCCATAAACTTAAGAGCAACCCTCATCATTCCCGGCCACATTGCCTTCCCTTCTGGATTCAGACGCCACACCGGACAAACTGCAGCATACTTTTAAGCAATATTCACGCACGTCACTACAAAAATAAATTTTAAAAAAAACTAGTTATGGCGTCACTGGACTTTCTGGTTAAGATTATGAAGAGCCAGTGGTCATGGAATAACCATAGCGTCGCCATGAATTAAATCAGCCTTTGAGAGATCTCGGATGTCAAGTACGCGATTAAATTTCAAAATCCAAACAGTTTTTTAAGGATGAGAAGAGTCTGACAACCTTGACAAGTGGTATGTGTTGTCTTTCTCCATTTCATTAATCCATCTCCTGTGCTCCCTCTCTTCTCTTCCCTTTTCCTTTTCTGCTTCCTTTGGAATTACAAGACCTGTATGTTAAGAAATCGAGACCCAGATTTTCGTATAAATTCACTACCTCCTTGTTGGCGTTTGCTTGCCTCTCTCTACTTCTCGCTTCTCTCTCTCTCTCTCTCTTCATTCTATCTTACCATATCTCATCCTATATCTACATTATATATATATTAATTAATATGTATATATAATATATATATATATATTAGAATATTATAGATATATTCTATATATATCTATGGTCTTCTCTCTCTCTCTCTTCTCTCTCTCTCTCTATATATATATTAATATATAATATATATAATATATATTAATATATATATATATAATATATATATATATACATATATATTCATGTATATTATTCTTATCTATTTATTATATATATATATATTCTATATATAATATATATATTATAATATATATATTCTGTATCTATTCATCTATTAGATTCTCCCTCTCCACTTCTCTATATTTATATAGTATCTACTCCCTCTCTCTACTCTCATCTCATATATTTCATCATATGTCATATCTCTTCCTCTCTCCCCTTATTTACTTCACCTATTGTATCTCACTCGTTTCTCTTCTCTATCGATCATCTCGCTATCCTCTCTTTCTCTCTCTCTCCTCTCTTTTTCTCTCCTTACTCTCATCTATCTCTCTCTCTCTCTCTCTCTCTCTGCTCTCTCTCTCTCTTCTCTCTCTCTCTTCTCTCTCTCTCTCTCTCTCTCTCTCTCTCTCTCTCTCTCTCTCTCTCTTTCTCTTTCTCTTTCAGTTCATGTTTAAAGTCAACAATTAATTTCACAAGTGTGAATGAGTTGTCACTTTCACCAAAGAGACAACGTTTTGTATAGTTTCGAAACAAATATCTATATCTTTTATAAGATGCATTTTTCGTCCGAATAGCTTGTTTTGAATAATGTATTACCACCATATGTCAGTATATTAATATTCAGACATACATCAAATCACATGAATAAAGATATGGCCTAACTTTTTTTTTAAAGCTATCGTCCTGCTGACTGTGTACAAATAATAATGAAAAATGGCTAACATTTCAGAAAATAAATTCCTTGAGGAGCGGGAGCCCGCCGCGGGAAATACCCACCTCCAAGGAAAAGAATTTAAGCACCGCAGTCACACACACTTTGGTTTGTGTTTTAGCATGTGAGGTTGTGAGACGTTGTGTTGTGATTTGTGTTATAAGGAGTAGGAGGAAAAATACGTCTTCATTTTTTTAAGTAAGTTCGTTTCCTGTTTTTTTTTTTTTTTGGATTGTTTTGTTTATTTGTTTATTTATCGAAGTACTTGGTTTGAATGAAATGACACATTACTGCATTTAGCATAATTATAGGCTTTATTCTGCACGTGTTTGTCTGTATGTTTGCATGTGCTTAAGTACTGTACGTGTATATAAGGTGTGTTTATTTTTGAGCACACACATATAGTATAACAAGATAATAATCGTGTATACATAAATAAGTAATTTCAGTCTTCACTTTTATAGATACGTAAAAAACAAACAATTAAAAAAACAAAACAAGACATTTCAATCTGCACTCTCCCAGAGCCATGGCATCGGAGTTTCCTTACGTCCTGAACCCCTTCCCGGAGGAGGTGCAGACGAAGCTGAAGGCGAAGTTCCTCGGGTTCAGGGGCGGCTTAGTGGACGTCGAGGGGCGCACGCCATGCGCGCACTACGCCGCTTTGGAGAGGTACGTGAGTTTTTGGGAGCGAATTAAATGTGCAATTTATTGATGATACGATGGGGGATATGATATGGTATTGAGATGGAGGTGGATTAGAGGAGGTGGAGAGTACAGAAAGGAAGAAGGAGAGACAGACAGACAGACAGAAAGACAGTCAGACAGACAGACAGGCAGACAGAAACAGTCAGACAGACAGACAGCAGACAGACAGTCAGACAGACAGAGACAGAAAAAGGCAGACAGACAGACAACAGACAAAAAAAACATACAAATAACCAAATAAACAACTCCAAACAGAAAACAACATCAGAGAAAAAAAATCAGAGAGGTTTGTGCGCGGGGAACGAATAAACAGTCAAAGAACAGACAGAGGACAAAAACAAGATACTCGTAATGAACCGAAATCAGATTCCAGAAGATGACGTGTTGTGATGACGTTCTGGGGACGACGTGGACGCAGGAAATCGTGTGGACGATGAGGAATCAGGTCGACGTCGACACCGCGGCCAAGGTCCCCCTCGACGTCAGGGTCCCTTTCATCGAGTAAGGATTTGTCTCTTTTTGTCTTTCTTCTTTTCTTTCTTTCTGTATTATTTTTCTTATATATATATATATATATATATATATAATATATATATATATACATATACATATATATACATACATATATAGACATACGTATATTTAAGATATATATGTATATATATATATATATATTATATATATAATATATATTATATATATATAAATATATATATATATATATATATTATATATATTATATATATATATATATATATATATATATATATATATATAAGCTTGTTTCTTGATATGATCATGAATGCGTAAAAATTCGAATAAACCACCAAAGACTGTGCTCAATACATAAAAAAACAAGAGTAACCTTCACAACCCAAACAGGTTCGATTCCCTGCAGCCGGAGCACCTCCCTCTCGCGGCGCCCATCGAAGAGGCCTACCGGAGCCGCCACCCAGGGGAGGACCCAAGGGACAAGGGCATCTTCCTCGACCTCGTAGACGCACTGCCTTCCCCGCGCACCATCAAGACGCACCTGCCCTTCTCGCTGCTCAGGCCGGACCTGCTCGACTCGTGCAAGGTGAGGGAGGTGGCTGGCTCGGG